GGCCCGGGGGCGGGGGGGGGGGGGGCGGGGCGCGGGACAGGCGGAAGGCCGGGGCCGGGGGGGGGGGGGGGGGCCGGGGGGGGGGGGGCCCCCCCCCCCCCCCCCCCCGTTCCCTGCAGGCCTGTGCGGCGGCAGCGCCTCGGGCAAGACCACGGTGGCGACTCGGATCATCGAGGCGCTGGACGTGCCCTGGGTCGTGCTTCTCTCCATGGACTCCTTCTACAAGGTGAGGGTGGGGGTCCGGGAGTCCGGCGCGGTGCTGAGCGGTGCTGGGGCTGGGGTGTCCAGTGCGGCCGTGGGAGTTCTGGTGCCAGGGGTCCAGCGCAGCGCTGAGTGGTGCCAATCCCTGGGGGTTGCACAGTGCTCAGGGATCCAGCGTGGCACTGAGTGGTGCTGATGCCTGCAGGTGCTGGACGAGGGGCAGCAGGCGCTGGCAGCCCGCAGTGACTACAACTTTGACCACCCCGATGCCTTTGACTTCGAGTTGCTGATCAGTGTCCTGCGCAAGCTGAAGAAGGGCAAGAGCGTGAAGGTGCCAGTGTATGACTTCACCACGCACAGCCGGCGCCGTGAGTGGGTGGGTGCCTCAGGGCCGGGCTGGGCCTGGGGGTCAGAGCCCCAGGAAGGGGAGCACCTCTGGGAGCTGGGAGAGTAAGGCAGGGAGGGGCTGGGGATCATCAGATGTGGGGGGTTTGTTCTAGGCTCATACCGGAGGTGTAGAGGCGGCAGGAGCGTGGGAATGGGTCTCAGAACAGGCCAGCACAGAGTTCAGGAGAGGCTCAGTGTGGAGGAAGGCTGAGAGGTGGGGGGAAGGCGTTGGGCAGAGGTTTGGGGTCTGGAGCCAGGCTCAGAGTCCGTGCTCAGCTGGAGTGCGGTGAGCAGGTGTGAGCAAGGACCCCGAGAGGTTGGGTGGTGAAGGACGGTTATGGGGAGCCCCACCACACTGGTGAGAGTCTGGGGGTGTCAGGGAGTGTCTGTGCTGGTGCTGCTGCGGCATGCGAGGAGGGCAAGACGAGCACAGCTCCTGTCTGCCTGCAGAAAACGGTGTATGGGGCCAATGTCATCGTGTTCGAAGGAATCCTGGCCTTTGCCAACAAGGAGCTGCTCAAGGTATTGCTGCCTGAGGCAGCCACTGGCCCAGCTCCATGCTGACCTGGAGGGGACCTGTGGAGATGGGACGGGCGCTTGCCCTGGGTGCCACTGCAGTGGTGGGGGCTGTGGGGGGAGAGGTCACCACGCTCACTGGCAGAACACCCCGTGCCAGAGGCCCTAGGGGAGGTGACACTGGGTGCTGTGGCTGGATGGCCGAGGGGAGCGAGGCAGGGTTGCATAGGGGTGCTCACCCCTCCCAGTTTTCCAGCTCCTGGACATGAAAGTGTTTGTGGACACGGACTCTGACATCCGGCTGGTGCGGCGGCTGCAGCGCGACATCATGGAGCGCGGGCGGGACGTGGCGGGGGTCATCAAACAGTACAACAAGTTTGTGAAGCCGGCGTTTGAACAGTACATCGAGCCCACCGTGCAGGTCGCCGACATCGTGGTGCCCAGGGGTGAGGCCAGAGCTGATCCTGCCATTGAGAATGGGTGTCTTGGGGCAGGGGTAGGTCGACATCCGTCCCACCTGGCTCCTCTGCTCCCCTCTCAGGTGGGGAAAACTTTGTGGCGCTGGACCTCATCGTGCAGCACGTGCACAGCCAGCTGGAGAAGGTGAGCTGGGGCGAGGATCAGGAGAGTCCTGCACGTAGAGGGCAGGATGGGGCTGTGCACAGCCCTGTGCTCCCGGAGCGCCGAGGGGGCTCAGTGTCACCTCTCTTCTCAAAAGGCCTCAGCGCGGCTCTCAGGGCAGCAGAGCTGAGAGGCGGGCACTGGGGAGGAGGGGGGGAGCTGGCCGGGCTGCCCGCGATGGCTGTGCTGGCCTGTGAGTGACTGACTGGGTGTCCTTGTGTCCTTCTGTGCCGCGCCGATGACCGTTCCACCGCCCAGCGTGAGATCACGGTCAGGTACGTGGGTCCCACCGCCACAGAAGGGCCGGTTCTGGGCTGGGGTGGGGGGCTGCTGGCACCCACTGGATCCTGAGTCCTGCTGCCTCCCCGTCACCACTGGCAGACCTCTGCTGTGGTGCCCGAGTGTAGCTGCTCCTCCCCGATGCTGCAGTGGCTGCTCTCAGCTCCCTGGGGCTCGTGTGGCCACAGCTGCGGGCTCTGCTTGACCCGTCCCACACTGTGCCTGATGTATGCGGCCAGCTCTCCACCCTGCTCCCATCCCTGTCTGGAGTGGGGCTCCTACCCCGAGTGCTGGGTTATCCTGGGCTGCTCACTTTTGCAGGAGAAGTACCCTGCATGCTCCATGTTCCCTGGGAGATCGTGTCCCCTCTTGATGGGACAGCCCTTGTCCCTTGGCAGAGCCTGGTCCCAGGGTGTGTGGGATGGTCCTGCCCCTGCAGAGCTGCTGCTTCTCATGCTGGCTGAGGCCAGTGCTGTGGAGGCTGCAGCAGCGGCGTGTGTGGTCTGGAAGATTCACCCTGGTCTGTCTCTCTGGTACCTGGTACCAGACGTGGGTCATTCCTCAAGCTCCAGGCGGGAAGGCCATGTGCTTCCTGGTGACCAACCTGTGTAGAGGGGTCTCCTGGAGCCTTCCTTCAGCGAGGCCGTGTCCCTCCAAGGGCCCAGCGTGATGGCTCTGCTCGTGCTGCACGGCTCTGACCCCCTTTCTCTCTGCAGGGCGGCCCTGGCCTCTGCTCACCAAGGGCAGCCGCTGCCGAAGACGCTGAGTGTCCTGGAGAGCACACCGCAGGTGCGGGGCATGCACACCATCATCAGGTATGTCCCTGCCCCTCCTCCAGCCTGTTGGGTGGTGTCACACCACAAGGCCTGGGGAGAATTTTCCTCCTCTCTGCCACGGGATGTCAGTCGAAGGTGTTGGCCTGGAGCAGAACAGCTGAATGGAACTGGCCCTGGCCCACAGGCACTTCTCTGGTGACAAGACCTTGGCACATCTGCCTTGGGTGATGCCTGAGCCAAGGGCTGCCTTTTCCTACAAAGAGAGGGGACTAATTGGCTCTTTCCTCACTGGAGCACAGGATGGTGGCACAGGGCAAAGTACCTCCTGCCCCTCTCCCAGGGCACTTGAGTTTACAGCTAGCTTGGAGAAGGAATCTGGGCTGCTGCTTTCATGACTTCACCACTCCCTTGATCTTTTCATTCCTCTCTGATGCTCCTTTTGTCCAGGTGACAGTAGTGTTAGTGCAGGGTCAAGGGCTGGATCCCCTGGAACCGCTGAGGGATTCCGTGTTGTTGTGGCTGCAGAATCTGGCAGCCCCTGTGTGTGTTTCTGCACAGCAGAGAGGGAATGCTGAGCTCAGCTGGGCCCTCCTGTGCCTGTGCATGCTGTGGTGGTACGGCACCTGTGTGTGGGTTTGGAACCCTCTGTCCTTATCAGAGATCTGGAGGGGATCGAGTGCACCTTCGTACATTCACAGATGAGACCAAGATGAGCGTGAGTGTGGATCTGCTGAAGGGTGGGAAGGCCCTGCAGAGGGATCTGGACAGGCTGGATTGATTGGCTAAAACCAGTAGTGTGAGGGTCAACAAGGCCAAGTGCCAGATCCTGCCCTTAGGTCACCATAACACCATGGAATGCTCCAGGCTGGACAGAGGGGCTGGAAAGCCAGAAAAGGCCCTGGGGGTGTTGGTGACAGCGGCTGGACAAGATCCCGGGTGTGCCCAGGTGGGCAAGAGGCCAATGGCCCTGGGGCTGTGCCAGCACTGCTGTGGCAGCAGGGCCGTGCCCTCCCTGTGCTGGCACTGCTGGGGCACCTCCAGTGCTGGGGCAGCTCTGGGCCCCTCACACAGAGACACAGGGAGGGGCTGGAGCGTGGGCAGGGAAGGGAAGGGAGCTGGGAAGGGGCTGGAGCAGCAGGAGGGGCTGAGGGAGCTGGGGGGGCTCAGCCTGGAGCAAAGGAGGTTCAGGGGGGACCTTCTGGCTCTGCAACCCCCTGACAGGAGGGGGGAGCCGTGGGGGAGATCAGGCTCTGCTCCCAGGGAACAAGGGAGAGGACAAGAGGAAACAGCCTCAAGCTGTGCCAGGGGAGGGTTAGGTTGGATATAGGGAACAATTCCTTCACAGAAAGGGCTGTCCAGCCCTGGCACAGCTGCCCAGGGCTGTGGTGGAGTCCCCATCCCTGCAGGGATTTAAGAACTGTGTGGATGTGGCACTTGGGGACATGTGTTAGTGGTAGCCTTGGCAGTGCTGGGGGAGCATTTGGACTTAATGGTCTCAGAGAGATCTTCCAACCCAAACAATTTATGCTCTTGTGATTCTTACGACCATGTGCAGGCTGGGCACCGCCTTCTACATTCCTCTCCCTGCTCCTCCCTCCTGAGGAAGCGCAGGCTCCAGGGTGGGTCACGGCAGTAAAACAGGTGATGTGGCACCGCAGGCTGTACCAGGCACAGCCCTGTGCCAGGGCCCACGTCCCTCCCCCAGGCTGTGGCTCTGCCTTGTGCCACAAGTGCCTGATGACCTTAATCCACTGAGGCTCAGGGCTGTGCTGAGCTGCTTGGGGGGGTTGGGCTGTTCCTGGGGCCTGCAGCACCCTTGGCCTCGAGCTCCTGTGCCGATGCCACGTGGGAGTGGGGTTGAGGGTGGTGAGCTGAGCCCCTTGCAGATGGTAACTGAGAAAGGCTGTGTTTCTGAGGGGTGTCAATTTGGCATGTTAGCTGCCTCCTCAGATCCTGCTGGGGCTGGGGCAATGCCATTCCCAAATCCCTGAGTCAAGGAGCTCTGCTGGGAGAAGTGCCTGTGTTAGGGGACAGGGAGGCAGCTCGTGTGAGACTTGTCAGCACTTGCTGGCTTCTGCATGACTTGGGCACGGTGTAGGGCTGTGGCTGGTCCCCATATGGGACCCTCTGCTCCCAAGCTGCTGCTCTTACCTGCTACCCTTCTCCCAGTCTCCCAGGGAGCTCCAGGCTGACGGGGACCAAACACACCTTTTGCCACACTTCCTGCAGCTCTGTGCTTAAGGTTACTGCACCCCAGCAGATCTGGCTCTTGTCTTTATGCATCAAATCAGACAGTGGTTTGGGTGGGAGGGACCTTTAAGGGATCCCTAGTCCAGCCCTTGCCATGGGCAGGGAACCTTCCACTAGACCAAGTTCCAGCTGCCACGATGCCACTGGCCCCACTCGCAGTGCTTGTGGAGTGCTGCTGCTCCCACCAGCACAGCCTTTCCGAGTGCCTTGGTATCCCAAACCCAGGGCCTGGATCACTGCAGAGTTGTGAGCCAGGATTCCCCTCTCTCCTTTTCCCATCCTACCTTTCCCAGTGCATCTCCCTGGGATGCAGCTGGTCGATCCTGGCATGCCAGGCTGCTGCCAGCCAGCACCATTCCCTGTTATTCCACACTAGAGGCTACTCGTGCTCCACCCATCTGTCTGCTAGGAGGGTGTCGGTGGCAGCAGATGAGCATCACCACAGCAGATCCAGGCTGGCATCCTGGGGGAAGTGCTTCTCAGAGTGATTTTCTGTTGTTGTGGAGGGGTGGAAGCTGAAAATGAGCCTCGCACTAGAATAGCTGCACAGTTTGAGTCATGAGGCTGAGGATGGATGGGGTACGAAGGATGCAGTGACAGGACAAGGGGGAATGGCTTCCCACTGCCAGAGGGCAGGTTAGATGGGATTTTGGGAAGGAATTCTTCCCTGTGAGAGTGGTGAGGCCCTGGCACAGGTTGCCCAGAGAAGCTGTGGTTGCTCCATCCCTGGAAGCATTCAAGGCCAGGTTGGATGGGACTTGGAGCAACCTGGGCTAGTGGAAGGTGTCACTGCCCATGGCAGGGGGCTGGGGCAAGATGACCTTTAAGGTCCCTCCTGACCCATACCATTCTGGGACTCTGTAGCCCATCTGTGCCCAGGTTTCCCAGTGCCTGGCTGTGCCAGTTGGCTCTTGGCTGTGGAGAATCCTGTTTGTGAGTGGAGCCAATTCAAGCTCCAGGCAGATGCTCCCGGTCCCTCCAGGCCATTCAGCACCCTCCTGCTGTCTCCTGAGCGTGCTGGGGAAGGCTCAGGTCCTCAGGAGTGCCAGCTGTGGTGCTGCTGTGCCCAGCTGTGGGCTCCCGTGTGCCACAGTTCTTGTGCCCCCTCCACAGGTGGGAGCAGTGCGTGCCCTCAGTGGGGGAGTGGACTGGTGTTGGGACAGCGGTGTCCCCTTTGGGAATGCTCTGCCACCTGAGGAGGCGGGATGGCGGCAGCGGTGGAGGGATCCTGGTCCCCTGCTGCTGCTGGGGGTGTCTGGCTGCCCTCCCTCGCACGCACCTTCCCCCTGTGTCACCAAAGCTGCTTGTGCCCTGTATGAGGAGAATTTTCATGGCTGTCTGTGCCGGGAAGAGCGGCACGGTGGGGCCAGGGGTGCTCCCCCATCCCCAGAGGAACCTGCCTCTGCAGGAGCACTGCGGGTCCCGTCCCACCCAGTCGGGGCTGGCACAGCCGGTGCGGGGCTCGCGGGGGCAGCTGCCTGGGACAGGACAGGCTGCGGGGGAGGCAGGGCAGCTGCCAGGCTCGTGCTGCTCCCGAGTTGCTGTGGGTGTGTGTGTGGGTGCAGCCCATCCGTGAGTGCATGCTGACAGCCCGTGCTGGGAGCCGTAGGCAGGGCGCCTGTTCCTTCCAGACCAGAAGTTATATTCCGCCTTCCCTGGGGGTGCCAGCTATGCCTGGGGATTTGGGAATGTCTGTGTCCATGGGCTGCTGTGGTCGCTGCAGGTGCTTGCCCATGAGTGTCCCCGGAATGGCTGCAGGAACACCCAGGGACAGCAGTGACTGTTGATCCTCCTCCGGGCGCCTCAGTGGGGTTGTCTGTCAGCTGGCAAGGTGTGAGAAGCAGCAGATGTCTTAAAATGCAGACTAAAAATATTCAATATCCTTCTGCCTTTTCTGGAGCGTTGCCAGCTCCACCTCTTCCATCTGGGAACAAGCACATGTCTGTGGAGCTCCTTTGTCCTCATGTTCCCCTCAAGGCTGGTAACCAGAGTGCTCCTGGTAGGAAAAGCCAGTCACTTTCCCTCTGCCCTGGGGTCAATGCCCTGCACACAGGGCTGACTTTACCCCTCCTGAGGGTGGGGACAGGTTTCCTGGAAATTGCAGCTCTGTGGCAGCTTTGTTCTAGTTCGTGTTTGTTTTCACTGTCCTCAGCTCATCAGGGCTGTGAGGAGGGCATGCCGGGTATTTCAGAATCACCTGGTTTGTTGGCAGTGCTTTATCTCTGACTTAGTACACAGAGGGAGGGGCTGGGGATATGTTCAACCTTTTCCCATCATCCAGCATGCCGGCCATGGTGCACTCTGGTCTCTTCCACGGTGGGGTCCTGATCCATCCTGGCTCTGCTCCTGTTCCCCCCTGGGCTCCCCAGCACTCACCCATTGCTCCTGAGTTTCTGCTGCCCCAGGACCACTGGTGCTGCCTGACCTGCTCTCACCCCCCATTCTCTCCCAGCTCTCTCCACTGTCTGCAGACAGTGTTGTGTCCCCCTCCCAGGGGAATTGAGCCCCTCTCTTACTGTGTGATCCCATCTAAGACAACAGCCAAGGCCTCTGAGTCCTGAAATGCTGGTGATCACTGACTGTGTCACCCCAAGAGGGCTCTGGTTCCCACGGACTGGGACTGCTCTCTCTGATGGATGGTCTCTGGAGCCCTGCATGCCATCTGCAGGGAAATAGTGGTGGGTCTGCTCCCATCTCATGCGTGTCCTCCCTCCCAGGAACAAGGACACAACCAGGGATGAATTCATCTTCTACTCCAAGCGCCTGATGCGGCTGCTGATCGAACATGCCCTGTCCTTCCTGCCACTGAAGGTGAGTGGCTGCTCTTGGGTGCAGCCACAGCCCCATCCCCATCCCCCCTCCTGAGCCCCTGGGCCACGAGGCCTGGCTTCCCCCACACTCCCTTGTGCTCCCCTTTCTGCAGTCTGTCACTGTGGAGACGCCCCAGGGCACGATGTACGAGGGGAAGCGGTTCCACAGGCAGCGGGTGAGACACGGTCCCAGCCCCCTGCTCCCCACAAGCAAACGTCTGCCCCGGGCCAGGTCAGCACACGCTGGGAGCACCTGGCACACGTGTCCCTGCCCCTTCCTCAGATCACTGGCGTGTCCATCCTGCGAGCGGGAGAGACCATGGAACAAGCCCTGACCGCCGTCTGCAAGGACATCCGCCTGGGCAAGATCCTCATCCAGACCAACCTGGACACGGGAGAGCCCGAGGTGAGCCCCACTGCACCCCGGCATGCAGCCATGCAGCACCAGTGGGTCACTGACACCCCCTCCTTCCCTCCCCAGCTCCACTACCTGCGCCTGCCCAAGGAGATCAGCGAGGACTACGTCATCCTCATGGACAGCACCGTGTCCACAGGGGCTGCGGCCATGATGGCCGTGCGTGTCCTGCTGGTGAGGGGCCGGGGCGGCGGTGCGGGGACAGGGGACCCTCTGTGCCCCGCCAGGGTCTCAGAGCTCCTTGTGCTGCAGGACCACGACGTGCAGGAGGACAGGATCTTCCTGCTGTCACTGCTGATGGCAGAGATGGGGGTGCACTCTGTGGCCTATGCCTTTCCCCGTGTCCGCATCATCACCACCGCCGTGGACAAGCGAGTCAACGAGGAGTTCCACATCATCCCGGGCATCGGTGAGGGGGACAAGGGTGTGCTGTGCCTCACAGCCAGGCCCAGCACCCTTGGGGGGAGCCCCACGGCCACACTGAGGGGGCTCTGGCAGGGATTGCAGTGGGGCCGGTGCTGCCATCCTCTCACTCTGTCCCCTCCTCCTCCAGGTAACTTTGGGGACAGATACTTTGGAACCGATGGCCCCTCGGGCTGGTGTGAGAGTGACGGCGTGAACTGCTGAGCTGGTCAGCCGTGGGGCCACTGGCCAGGCTGGCTGCAGGGCTGGCCCCCACCCCTGCCCCCCGGAGGGGCTCCATCCTGCCAGCCTGTGCCCACCTGGCAGCCCCCAGCTCTCAGGACCTGCAGAACAAGCCCCTCACTGCCGGCCTCCCTCCACCCCAAAGGACCAATCCTCCCCAGGGAGGAGAAGGAGGAGGAGGAGGAGGGATGGCCTCATGCAGCCCAGGGAGAGGGGACATTTCAGCACATTCCTTGCCATCTGAGCCCTGCCTCTGGGGCCCTGGCCAGCCGTGCCTCCAGAGGGAGTGGTGGTCTCCCCACAGCTGTGCCTGAGGGGCTGCTTACCCTCTCCCCAGGGGAGGAGGGGGACAGGGCCTGGTACCCACTGGGCACTGGGCGAGCTTTGTGCCTGGAATCCGTATTTATTTGTATTTATTGTGGGTAGCCCCAGGTTCCAGCAGGACCCCCAACATCAGGGACTGGGACCTCATGTTCCCACTGTCTCCCTGCCGATCCACACTCCATCCCTGCCAGTCCGCACTCCGTCCCCACCCTGTGGCCCCGGGAGTACCGAGGTTGGCATCTAGCTGCTCTCCCTGTGGTGTCCCAGCCCCGGTGCGCAGAGCGGAGCCGCTGTTCCCGGGGGCGGTGAGGCGTCCCAGTGCTGCCCTTGTTGCTCAGGTTCTTCTTCCAAAGGGCAGCGGCGGCCTCGCCCCGCCCCGGCGGCAGCAGGAGGCTCCGGGGCCGGGGGTGTGCCCGTGCCCCCCGCGCTGTCCTGGGGCTGGGCCGTCACCCCCGCGCTGCCCCCGCCGCCGTTTTGTACCAATAAAGGAGCAGCGCGACCCCCGTGTGCCGCCTCCTGCCGCCGCGGGGCCGGGAGCGGTGCGGGCGGTGTCCCCGGGCCGGGGGCAGCACGGCTGTCCCGGAGCCGGGCGGGGCGGGGTGTACCCGGGGCGGGATGGCGCGTCTGGGCCGGTGGGGCCGGGGCCGGGGCGGGGTGTCTGGGCCGGTGGGGCCGACCTGGTGTCCCCGGTGCAGGGGGGGCCGGGGCCAGGCGGGGTCCCCGTTGCAGGGTCCCCGGTGCGGGCTGTCCCCGGTGCGGGGTGTCCCCGGTGCGGGGTGTCCGGGCCGGTGTCCCCGGTGCGGGTGTCCCCGGTGCGGGGTATTCCCGGTGCGGGGTGTCCCCGGTGCGGGGTGTCCGGACCGGTGTCCCCGGTGCGGGGTGTCCCCGGTGCGGGGTGTCCCCGGTGCGGG